CAACTTGCAAATACAGGCGTGATAAGATGGTCCTAAGCAACGATTGTTAGAAGGAAAATACATAATATTATTGAAAATGCCCTCCATCTTTGATTCATTGTTTGGCCGTCTCTCTATTAGTCTGTTTGTCTATTTCTCTGTATGCATGTTTGTATTTTTATCTGTCTGTCTGTTTGTTTACCAGTCTGTTTCTCTCACTACCGCTTTCTCCACCCCCCCTCTCTCTCTCCCGCTTCACTCTCTCTCTCCTCTTTCTCTTCCTCTTTCTTTCTCTCTCTCTCTCTCTCTCTCTTTTCGTTCTCTCTCTCTCTCTCTCTCTCTCTCTCTCTCTCTCTTATGTGAACAGAAATGTATCGTCTCACTAATCGGCGGCGTTTGGTCCTGACAAGCAGAGATGAAGCAGCCCGCCTCCCAAGTAATCTGAATTGTATAGAAGGGGCGTAAAATATCTACAATCAATCAGAACAAGAGAAAGACTCACCGACGTCACAGAAGAGACGTGCAGAGATATGAAGAACAAGAACGATGTGCGCACGACTTCCAGAATACGGCTTTTTATACAGGACAACCAGCGGACCAAACAGCGCAGAGAAGCCACGCACCAGGATGTCTCTTACCGTTTCCCTGAAACACGCCATGATCACCTCATACAAGCAATACGAAACCAGTCCACCCCCACCCACCCATTTTTGTCTCCGCCCCCTCTCTCTCTCACTCTCTCTCTCTCTCTCTCTCTCTCTCTCTCTCTCTCTCTCACACACACACACACACACACACACACACGCACACACACAGCTGCGAAAAATTTATCATGAAAATAAGAGCATCAAAGTCAGAAGTTATGAAAGTAAGCAGAAACCGTAGACCCCTGAACATCTATGTCAATAGCAAACAACTGAAACTAGTGAAGGAGTTTAAGTATCTTGGACACAAAGAGACAGCTTATCACCTGAATATTTATACCAACATTATGCTACCTGTTATGAGTGCCCGATCTGGACATTAAGTAAAACCCACGAAAGCAAAATCCCTGCCTGCGAAATGAAATGTCTCCGCAAAACCCTTAACATCACAAGACGAGACAGGCAGAGAATTGAAAAAATAAGAGCAGCTATCGGCTTTGAGTCCAGTCTGCATTACATAGAAAGACAGATGCAAAAATGGTTTGGCCACCTGTTACGTATGTCACCTGGCCAGACAGCCTCGAGAGCCTACAGCATCAAGAACTCAGGCTATAAAGGAAGAGGAAGACCACGCAAAAGGTGGATCGAGGGTGTCAAGGAAACTCTGAGAAAACATAGTATCACAACTGAAAGAGCTACGGAGCTGTCCTACCACATAAAACTGCATCTCCCCTGGACGCTTGAAAGATGCAAAAGATGAAAAAGGTAAAAGTAAAAGGTAAAGTCAGTTTAGTTTGGGAGAAGGGGGGGGGGTGGTTGTTTTTTTTTGTTTTTTTAAAAATATTCCTTACATGACGTTAGGAAAATTGCAACCATTCAAGTGCTTTCGATTGATGTAAAGGACTTCATTCTGACTGACTGTGTACAACATTTACAATAAATTAGTTGTAAGACCATACTGTAGTAAAGTGCTCAAAGTACGTCAAGACGAGCTCACAGAGGGAAGAAATAAGAAAACCATGAACAACAGAAACAGCAATAACAACAACTTAGCATTACATGTTGCAATATATACACGTTCCAAGTAATACTAATAAAAATATTATCAGAAGATATAAACAGTGGTGGGTAGGACCCGAGATAACATTTTTACGTCCTTTTTCTTGGAAGGCGCAACTTCCTCAATTTTAACTCCGGGTTGGCGGAGGAGGAAAGGGGGCGGGGGGGTAAAGGAGGGAAGAAGGGGAGGGGGAAAGGAGGGCAGAAAGGAGAAAAAGAGGGAGGAACGGGGGAAAGGAGGGAGGAAGGTCAAGGAAGAAGGGAGAGAGGAAGGGGGTAAAGAGGGAGGAAGGATGGAAGGGAGGGTGGAAGGGGGGAGGAGAAAGGAGAGGGGAAGGGAGAGGGGGTAGGAAGGGGGGAAAGGAGGGAGGAAGGGGAGGAGGGAGGAGAGTGGGGCAGGATGGAGGAACGGGGGAA